CTTGACCAGCGATGGCGTCGTCTACTTCTGTCTTCCATATAGCATCCTTAGTCGTAGATATAGTGGGCGTCGTTGGCACCGTGAGCAAACGAAGCGACGGAGGCGGTCATGATCTGCAGGAAAGAGTAGAGGTATTCGGCGCGGTTATCAAAGTGAGAGACGTGCGAGTGAATCTCGTCGAGATCGCCAGAGAGCATGTTCTTGCGGCGCTGCTGCTTGTGGATGTCCTGATCAACACCACGGAGGAAGACCCACTTGAGACGCCAGAAGAGGACGGGGCCGGAGCTCCACTTGCCCTCGGGCCGGGGACCGACAAGGCCAGCGGTGGGGCTCTTCTCGTCGGTGAGATGGTTCTCGCGTCTGTCGACGGGAGCGGAGGCGACACGACCCGAGTCAACGTCCGAGACATCGTTGCCGAGGACCTTGGTCTCGCCAGTGGGGTTGGCCTCTTCGTCGGCGCTGTGACCGCCACCGGCACGCAGGGCGTTGAGCTCCTCCCTGGTAAGGTGACCCTCGTAGTAATCCTTGATGCCACCGCGGAATCCCTCAGGCTGGACAGGAGGCTCAGGACGGCGGAGCAAGAGGGGCCCCATGGGAATGTGCCAGAAGCGAAGCTGCCAGTCGTCCTTGATGACAACGCGGTACAGCCAGGGGACGAAGAAAACGGCGACGAAGAGGGCGACAGCGGAGCCGACGCCGACGATAAGTCCGGCCTCCTCGGCACCATTGAAGCCGGTCTCGATCGATCCACCCTTCCAGATAAGAAGCATGGTGATAAGAGACGAGGTCATACCGAAGTAGAAGGGCACAGTAGCGAGACCCTTGATGACAGGGTTGTTGCGGATCATGACTGCGTACTTGGTTGCGAGGAAGATTATTGCGGCGAAGGCTCCCGACAGACCAGGGGCGATGATCCATGCAAGGAAAACCTGGATGACACCAGCGTTGATACCAGCATCGAAGTCGGCCCAAATGACGCCGTCAACGCCAACAGTAGCAACACCCATACCAATGATACCGCCCATGATAGTGTGGGTAGTCGAAACAGGGAGACCAATCTTGGTGCAGACTGTCAGGTAAAGAGAGGACGCAACGATGGCACAGACCATGCCGAGCATCAGCATAGCTGGGTTGTCGGCGAAGAGGTCGAGGTCGAGGACCTTAGTACGGATGGTATCGGCGACTCGCGCTCCGACACCGACGGCTCCAGCGAATTCTAGGACGGAGCCAAGGGCCATCGCCTGGATGTAGGTCACGGACCTCGAAGACACGGATGTGGCCCACGAGTTGGCGACATCATTGGCACCTGGAAAACAATCACACGTTAGAATAGCTTACTCAGGGAGTCACGAGAGCAGAACATACCAATGTTCCAGGCGTCTAGGAACGCAAAGATGAAGCCTGCAGCCAGCAGATAGTCATACTGGTGAAGCGGAGCCATGATTGGCAACTTTTGTTGGCTGAAATCAAGAAAGAAATGGTTCTCAGAGCCTTGTGGTAGGCAAGAGGCGAGACCAGGCTGAGGGTCGGTGTGATGACTTGACTTGAGGGAGAGCCTGAAACAGCTACAGATAGAGACGAGCCACAGGATATATATAAGGTTGAGTTGCATGGGAAGACATGCAAAGAAGCCAGCTCAGAACCATCATCTGCCTCCCTGAAAGTAACCTAAAAGACCGGGGTTCATGACGGCTCGGGGCTCGCCACGCTTGGCAGGCTACCATGGAGAGCGAGATGATCCAACAGTTTCCTCGATGAGCATCCCATCCGCAGTTTCTGCACCAACGACACCACCTTGCATCGCCCCGGTGTGGATGGGCAGAATATGGATCCTAGACGCCCTGCTTGCCAAGGACGGCCGACATGCGTCTTTCGAACATTTTCTGCGCTCTATTAGGTCCATTGAACGCCCACTGCTACCTGTGCGCATCGACAGAGGAGTACCAGAATACCAAAAGAGGTGCCGCAGCAGTCGAGTTGGGAAGTGGCATGTCAGTGCCAAGAACAGTTAGCTCCCACGTGCAGGTCTGCCTCGATGGGCTTCGACGAGAGGTAGAAATGGAGACACGCGGTAGGACAAGCATGTGGATCACAGATCAAGGTTTGGGGTGTCCAACGACAGACATGATGCAATGGTGCGAGGTGCCGGGGGATACAGCCTGGTGGTGAAGGTGGGAGAGCCAAGAGGACGTCTTACAGCGACTCATTGCTAGCAGCCAGCGCACATGCAACGGAGACTTTACTGGAAACGTAACCAGCAGGGCATATCCCTTACCTCCGCCCGTCTGGGTACAGTCGCTATACAGTCGTTGAAGTCAATATGGAATACTAAACGAGGTACAATTGCGCTCCCGCGCCAAGGCGCCAAGGCGCCAAATGGCGAGTATCATATGGATTCTCGGCATCAAATCAGAGAGCCGCAAGCTACCACGTGCATCCAAAAGCAGTCGTGTGTCGTAATGGACAGTTACCAGTCGGTCGCTTATTTCTCGTAGCATCCTTGCTGGCCTTGCCTCTATTCCCTTCATCGTGATGGTTCGTGGGGCGCTTGGCGCCAGAGCATACAAAATTGCCGCCAAGACCCGCGGGTTTGGGAGCCTAAAGCCCATTCCCATGTCACGAACCGGGGGGGCGACCACGCACGCCACGACCGGCTGCACCTTATCACACAACATCTTAATCTATTGGATGCGAAGGTTGATTCGCTAGTCCGATGGCTCATTGGTACGGATCGCGTGCCTCCTGGCTTGGACATCCAGCGCCCATCCCGTCGCTCGTCTTTTTATCCAAACTCCCGTCTCGCGGCTTGTAAGACGTCGTTTCAGCTGTCCTTACGGCTGTGTTCTACAAAATAAAACCTGCTGAGCTTCCTTGAAGCATGTGTTTCTCATATCTATTGCAGAAATCAGGCTGGCCGTACCGGTAAAACTGCGAAGGTGTGAAATACTCAACAAGCTGAAAGTGAGTTGTCTCATCATTAGACACACGATTGTCAACAAATTCCGTCTGATTGGGCAGCGTGCCCATACCTCGTGCCTGAAGCCTTCGAATAAAATCATGCAGACTGCTTCTGGAAGTTCATCGAGACCTTCCAGTCTGGGTCGTCCAGGGACACCTATACTCGACCATTAGGGGTTCTCACAGGCCCTGTGGCAACGGATTCTAGCGACTTGGGTATCTTGGCAAGACATGATTGGGGGTGATCTGAAGCAACTAACACGCTTGTCCTTCGGCCTTCGCCGATGCACACTTGAATACGACCTTGAACTTGTGCTCGGTAGGCCGCCTTGTTGGTCTAGCAGTAGCTGCCTTCGTATCCGGCCAGTACGTGATGCTTGAAATATCCTCACAGAGCTCCACGTGCGTCATTCTGCTATTTGTTACGGTCGGCCCCAAAGGGGCTTAGTGACAGCCCTCACATGGTCGTAAGTGCCATACGGCAGCTATCAATTAAGCTAAAAGGATAACGTACTCCACAAGCGAGTGGAACACACAAGCGAGTGAAACACTCCGTCGCGATTCCCCAACCACCTATCTTTCATCACCTTTCTACCCACAATTAAACATGGAGACTCCTTGCAAAGAAGCTCAATTGATTCTTGCTACCGAAGCTATCAAAAAAGATCCCAAGCTAAGCATTCGGAGCGCTGCGAAGATCTACAGCGTGAGCCATGTGACGCTAGGCCGACGACTGAAGGGAACTATCTCTCGACGCGACAGCCCTCCGAATTCGAGGACATTGACTTCCTTAGAGGAGCAGACAATTATTGAGAGTATTCTGGACCTGGATTCGCGATCATTTCCTCCCCGGCTTCGTGACGTGGAAGATATGGCCAATAGGCTGCTCGCCGACCGAGGCGCGCCACACGTCGGAGTCAACTGGGCTTCAAACTTCGTCAAGCGACAACCACAGCTAAAGACGCGTTTCTTTCGCAGATACGACTATAAGAGGGCCCAATGTGAAGATCCAGACGCGATAAACGCGTGGTTTCGCCTTGTACGGAATGTGGTTGCGAAGTACGGCATTGCGGCCGCAGATATTTACAACTTCGATGAGACCGGCTTTATGATGGGCGTTATCTCAACAGGAATGGTCGTCACAAGCTCGGAAAGGCGCTCAAATACGAAGCTCATACAACCTGGAAATCGACAATGGGTCACAGTGATCCAGGGGGTTAATTCCCAAGGCTGGTGCGTCCCGCCGTTTATCGTGGTCGCAGGCAAATATCACCTCTCGAGCTGGTACGAAGAAACATCCCTACCAAAGGATTGGGTTATCGCCACGACTGAAAACGGATGGACTACCAATAGAACAGGACTGGAATGGATTCGGCACTTCGATAAGTACACCAGGCCTCGCACAACAGGCACACATCGACTCCTCATTCTAGATGGACATGAAAGTCACCACTCGATCGAATTCGACGCCTACTGCAAGGAAAACAACATTATCGCGCTCTGTATGCCGCCTCATTCATCTCATTTACTCCAGCCTCTCGATATTGGCTGCTTTGGCCCGCTTAAGCAGGCGTACGGTCGGCAAATCGAGAAGAAGATGCGGGCGGGTATAAGCCATATCACCAAGGAAGACTTCTTCCCTGCGTTTCTTACAGCATCCCAAGAGGTAATGACGGAGAAGAACATCCAAGGGGCCTTTAGGGGAGCTGGACTCGTTCCTCATAACCCGGAAGCAGTCCTTTCGAAGCTGGATGTGAAGTTACATACCCCAACGCCTCCAGGGAGCAGTGGAGGGAT